CTTCCATACCCATAATGCTAATATATATCCCACTTTGCTAAAAAAAAAAAACTTAACATATCAAGACTTGTAATATAAATTTATGGTAAGAGTTCTGTAGCTTTAAAAACAGTTAGCATTAACTTCTATAAACAGGCTTTTACACTACAATCCACACTAAAAAAATTTAAAAAAAACTAAAAATAAAAATGAAATATTAATTCACTACAATAAAGTAACCAAAAGGTTAGTACTATATACATATCAAAGTGTATAAAATTCCAAAGTGTGGCTATAATTAAAGCTATAAAATGAATCAAGGACAGGAAACAACTTTGATTTTGCAGAAAAATAATCACAAAAAAAACCAAAAAAAAAAAACGATCATCAAGTCATAAATGACAAGAGTAATCCGACACCGGAAACAAACCAATCAAGGAGAGGCAAATACAAACTACACATACTACAAATGGCGTGTATACCTTACAACTACAAACAATACCTCACAAATAATTACCAGAGTTATTTGCCCTAATCTGTCAAAAATGGATGTGATACCCCAAGGCAATTTTTTCAGTTGTTTTGCTTTGGAATTTTTTGGTCTGCGCACGGTACAAAGACAACGACATATAAACCATAGAAGCTTTAGTGCATGGAAAATGCAGGCTAATTTGAGTTGGACTTGATCAAAACTCTTGCTAATTGCTTGAATGAACCCATTCAGTGTAAATCCTACAATATAGTTGATAAGCTATTAAGCGAAAATTACTTGGGAAGGATTTGCACTGTCGGAAAGCTTTACCCAGGTAATTTCAAATCTCCCGATATTATTGTTCATTCATACCTAAATGTAAAAACAACTTAGCAGTATCTCATTAAGAATATTTAAGATTGCAAAGACAGGTTCCTATTGATGGGGATAATTTACACACAAATTTAATCAGTGTGCCTGGAAACTTAAGTTCTACAAAAATAGGCAAAGAAAAAATTTAAATATTGATAAAAGCCAAAATGTATGTTTTATTTTTCTTTTATTTTTTTTTATTCAACTTTATTTCTCATCTGTTAATGCCAAAGTTTATGGAAAATATAAAGGAAAGCCATACTGCATATATGCAGCAAAATGTTAGCGATACAGACAACAGTAGTACAAGAAAGAACAAAACTAATTATATTAATTTATGAAAATGATCAGGGGTGGATTTTTGGTGGGAGGGATGGGGTCTGAGCTGGCCTCAGGTGCCCTTTTGGTAAGTTAAAAAAAAGGTAAAAATAAAGAAAGAAAGAAAAAGAAATTATTGATCACCCAAAATGCCTCAGAAGTTATTCCAGGCATCTAGAAAACAAAATTTCCAGGACCCCCCTAGGTTAGTGTTGCCTCTCGATCGGTCACCTTTTCGGCTCCCCCCATTCGGACGTCCCTGAATCCGAGCCCCTGATGATGGCTAGTGTTTTGCCATGAGAAAGCAAAAAAGAGGAAACAGCCCAAAAGTTTTTCATTATTTAATAATATAATTTTAATTTTAATTGAGCACCAAATTAAAATCATGCATGACTAATTAGTAGGCAATTGAAAAATGTAGTTGATATTACTACACTTAAAACCTCAAATAATTAGCAATAATAGCATGTACCCACACCCCTCCTGTTATTAATATTATTTTGCTTACAAGTAATTTCATTTACCGTGGCACAGACAAGGCCTGTCTGCCGCCTTCTTTGCAATAAACCTGGCAAGATTAACAGCGGCAAGAGCGAAAATGCTTGTTATTTTTACTGCTCGAGTAGGCAATAAAGCCAGCGAGGCGAGTAAATTAGCCCATGTTCTAATAACCTAGCCTTTCGGGAACCGTACCGCCTTGTGGGCAGTGCATAATTAAAGAATTAAATGAGAGAAATATGCATAACATAACACATGGTACCCGAATTTACATTCAAAAATTGCGGTAACATTAATGAGGATAATGTGGAAGAGATGATCATTATGATGGTGATACCCATCTGATGACAAAGAGGAGGAAGCTGGAGAGAATATAATCACAGTAGGTTGGCTACTATAATAGCCATTAATAAAGTAGAACTTTGAAGGCTTGATGGCGGTTATAAGGGTAATTGAGTTAATAATATTTCAAAAGATGCAATACATATACTGCTTAAAATATATAAAAATTCATAATCTTTAATAGGCATAAATTCCCATAACATCAATATCTAATTTGCAAAAAGAACAAAATTTGAATGAGATCCATATGTTAAGATGTAAATTCATGAATAAATTAATGGGTAATTTACATCTTAATTTTCCATGGTAATCACTGAAAATTAAGTTATATGTTTGCTAATAAACCAGAGCAGAATGATAAAAAGTGCTTTTATAGTGGAACAGATGAACTGATTGGTCAACCCAAATTTATTTTACATAGCAAGGACGGTCCACAACCTTGTGATGATTATTTCTATCAGGATTAGAAGTAACCATAAGACAACAACCAAAAAAAGAGTTACCGCAAATTCAAACATATCTTTATGATTCAAAATAAGGTTATTGTCCACACTCTTTTTCCATCATTCTAGCTGATTGACTTCTAGAATTAACTCATAAAGTTCGAGAATCTGCAGGTCAGGAAAGAATAATAATTGTAGATAGAACATGTTATTAAGATTATCTTCCCTTTCCTAGCCTCTCTTGCTGTCTGTTTTCATTTCAATAAAGCCAGCTGAAGACTTAATTTGTGGATCTAAAATTGGTGTTAGGACTCACCATCTCACACAGAGCTCATGGCCCGCTTTCTCATTAAAACAAGTCTTACTACCTATCTTCCTGACCTTAGTAAAACAAATTAAATTGGGTGAGAAGGGAGCCAGCCTCACAGCATCAACTGTTGATAGCTAGATGAGCTGCTAAGATAGGGAATTAGATTCTAGATTGAGTATAGGATTTGCTGGATTTACACTCAAATATTTCCCACGAAACTT